CATTGGGAGTTAATCTTCGAAGCCTAGTGCCTTCGACTATCCTATCATTTATCTCAGAATCTTGCTCATCAATGGTGTTGGCGGTTGATAAGGAGGGTTCGAACATGGCATTTAGCCATAGTTGGAGTAACCAAAAAGGGCCAGCCAATAGAATATTTTTGGAGGTGTGGGATTTGAGGCTCGAAACAGCTGACCTCAGGCTTTCATAGAGGTCAACTAAGAGCAGTTCACTTAGGCACACTTTTCGATTTTCATGCAAGTCCCTAGCTAGAGGAATGAACCTACTAGCTACCTGTAGGGATCTACTGCAGAAAACGTATCTTTACAGCCACAGGGTTAAGAAAGCAATGTGCTCTACGTCAGACACATTGTCCCCCTGAGCATGGTAATGACTGATAAATTTGGAAAAACTGGCTAGCTTGACTTCGAAGTCAATTATGCTTGAGTGTTCTTCGTTGTCGGGTATATAAGTTTCTCCCACTGGCGATAGCCCAGTGATGGCCGCTATGTCGAAGAAGGTTGGGGTGATCATTCCACCTGGGAGATGGAAAGTGTTATAGGTATTGTCCCAGAAATAAAGGGACGTGAATAGCAGAGGGTGGTTGTAGGTGAAACCAGGCTTCGATAGCTTAATCAGGTTATAGATGCCTAATTCTTCCCATTGCTGGGATTTCTTAGCTTCTACTTTCGTGAACCAATTTTGATAAGCAATATCAGAGGTGGGGCAAGATCGAAATGGCTTAAAATTACTTTTTACATAATCCAAAACAAAGGGGTTCTTAGGAGGAACAGTTGGGGTTTCTATGGTATTTGAACTAGGAGATTCTACTGCCTTAGGGGCGTCCATTTTGTTAAATAAGGGTTTGAAGCTATAACAAACTGGGAAAATCGTCCTGGTGTCTTTTAATATTTCAAAAACCGTAAGAGGGCCATTTAAAGCTAACCTCTTACCAGCAACGTTGGTAGGAATGAGTACCTGTGACGCATACAGCATTTCTTTTTCTTTTGAAATCATCTGAGGGGCAAGAACGGATTGACCTTGGTGAGTGATGATTTTACTTTCCATGGTAGCTCCTGCAGTTTTTCCTTTCTTCTTGGAGACTTTCTTGAGTTGGGATGAAGTAGAAGAAGACATTTTTGAAAGATGTTGAAAGCTTGGATTTTTTTTTACGAGAGAAGGAGGGTAAAAGATTTAGAGTGTGAAAAGAAAAGAAAAATATTAAGTTGGTGATGTTTTATAATGGGGAAGTTTAAGCATCCACCGAATAAAGGTGTGATACGTGGAGATCATGGGTTGGTGTGATGAAGAGGTGGCGTAAAGTTAACATGGGTAATAGGCGTGATTTAAAGATAATCATTATTTGTAACTGCACCATGCTGTGAAGTGGCTCCAGGCGGTTAAGGAATCCAAAAGGTGCTATGATTGACGTGACTGGAGTCAAATGCATTAAATGTTACGATGATTCGAAAGTCCCGTCAAAATCTTGTGTAGGTGTTTAAAATAGGTATTTCTCAGAGGAATCGAAATACATATTTTAAAGGGGCAATTTGTTGGCTGAAGATTTTGATAATGTTATTAGAAGCCAAATGAATTAAACGTTTTGATCGAAATGAGGTAAAGCGTCATGTTTCGAAGTAGCAGAAGCAGTGTTTCGAATAAGTATGTCAAAGCTTGGAGCTTCGAGTGGCAATTATGGGAACATATCTAAAGAAGTCTCGAAATAACAACAAGGCTGTGTCTGGGAAGAGCGTTCGAAACGGAGAAGTACCAAAGCATTTGAAATTCAAATGGAAGCGGGACTTTCGAAGTTTGAAAGTTATGTGCTGGAGCATTTGGGGACACGTGGAAAGACGAAAGAGGCATTGTCCTGCATGTTCTAAACGTGGCATAATCCTATAGCAAGACCGTTATGGTCGAATTAGTATAAATAGAAGTCTTAGTATTAGGATTTTGGGTGTCATATCTATTATACAAAATACTCAGTAACATTCAAACTACCACATGGCAAGGGAAACGAATGCAAGAGAAATGTATGTATGATAGCACCATGTATTTCTGATTTAATGAAAACCTTTTACCATTTCCAGCACTTTCCTTTATCCTTTTGTCAAATAACATTTACAAGTTTTCTCATTTACAGTCTTTTCACTTCGGAATCTCTTCTTCAAAGTTTTACATTTTAATGTTTTCTTCATATTTCAAGCACTTTATATCTCAGAAAACTGTCATATCTTCCATACCTTTACCTTCAAGTCTTATCCTTCGAACGCATATTTTTACTTAAAGTCATTTAAAGATTTATTACATTAAACGCTTTCTTCATATTTCAAACCTTTTACGTTCCAGAAATCCTTTATATTAACTGTTTTGTAAGTCGAAACTATTTACTTCACTTTTATGCAATTTCACATGTCTTTACAATTAGCATTTATTCATGTAACTTAGTTTTCACACACACATTTTGATTACCTCTTTAGACTTTTAGAGAGAAAAATCGAAATAAGCCAAACACATATACAATATCAACCATGAATATCTGTTCGATCGTGAGAGTAACCTTAATATCCAAGGAGTCCTAGGATCAATCTAGTCGATCCTGTGAGTTACCAGAGGAATTGAATAACAGTCAGAAAGATTATTCGATAGTTTGGAAGACTAGCGGTTGTTTACCAGAAATCACTGGAAACAAATACGTAGTTAACGTTGGATCAGCAAATGTTGATGCACTATTATGCAAACTTGTCATCACCAAAATCGGCATACTGTATGGTTGTTCGCGACCATTCATAGGCATTGTGAACCCAAGCACATAGGGCCTGAAACCGCTCAACACCATTGGTCTTGGAGTCACTGGGTGACCCTGTGTTCTCGTTAGGGATAATATTAGTCCAATCTACGTACTTGATGGTATGGTCCCCGTACTTATCGTAAAGGGCATCGCTTTGCTTCAGTCACGATCCCTGCGGATGTGTTTCCTTTATCAAAGGAGAGGGTTGCTCTCCATTATTATTCAGTGGATTAGCCATTCTCCTAACGTATTTTCTTTTTGGTAAAGTTTTGTTATTTCTGTCTATGCTACCACTTCTTAATCTCATGCAACATAGTTTGAGAAGTTTTTATGTATGAAGAACTAATGCAACAAAAAATCAAAACAACTAAGCACAGGGGTCCCACCAGGTGTGCCAATTTATTTACTGTCGATTTAAACAACCGCTAGTCCTCTAAAAGATAATATTTAGTTACTTGCAAGATCGACTAGATTGATCCTAGAAAATATGTGCATGAATTTCTTAAGTTTTCTTGATAATGAGGATTTCGACACTAATGTGAGTCTTTAAAGTAATGCAAGAAAAACTTATAAGATATAAAAGAAATTAAATGACTTCGACCGAAACTTAAAGTGCAGAAAAATAATATTAATATAAATGACTTGATATTGAATGAAAAATTTATGGTGATTCATACGTACATTTCGCTCGGCAACTCTTTTCTCAATACACTTAGATACTTTGAGTAATATGAGTTTTTGTACAAATCGAACACACGGAATCCTAATACTAGGATCCTTGTTTTATACTAAATCAAAATAACTGTAACGAACAGTCTCCTCTTCAGAGAATGACACGTTCTCGCTTGCATGTATTTCGCCTTTCACAGACATCCACGCATCCTTTAAAAAACGGATAAGGCCAAAAAACAGTTAATTAGCTTTATTTCAAATTATCTCGTCGAAATCGTTATCAAACTAAGTCCAAAATACGCTAAGTCCCAAAATGATATCACACTATAGAAGTGAAACCCGTTCACCAATATCTGTCGAAGCCTCGCTGAGATCTTCCCATTCGAACTAGACTTACTTGCTCCAAATATTTCCTTCAGCTTTTCTTGACATTTCAAATCCTCCTTATTAGCGTCGAAATTTCAACTAACAGCGTCTCAAAAATAACTTTTCTTTATTTAAAGACTCTTAGAATCAGTGTATGACATCGTGTCTCAAAAATAATTTTTCTTTATTTAAAGACTCTTTGAATCAGTATCTGACATCAATATGATATTTATACGATGTGTTAGAAAATTTAAACAATTTTTCAAAAAAATATTTTTTTTTCCAATTAATCTTATACTACTTTTTTACAAATAATACATTTAAATTTAAAATGGTTAAAGATGTCTCGAAACAATGTTAATCAATAAAAGCTTAAAAACAATTAAATTTAATTAAAATATCTTATATTTTTCATAATAGATGAAGAAATAAAAGAAACAATATCATATATCATATGTGGAGGTATTGATAGTATTTTTCATATTATCAAAATGAGAATTTTCGCATTGAATGTTCAAAAAACGCGTATTTGTTTAAAATATGAAACATGATTTCAAATATCCAATTGTCTGTTTGTAAAAGATATCCACAGAGAATCATTTAGACTAGAGATAATCTATATTTCTAACCTAGAAAATAGCTCCCAATTGATTGGTTTTAGATAGATACATATTGATCACAAAAATATTTTATTAATAATATTTATTAGAGTTCGTTTGTTATACTCCTTGGTTTATAAGTAAATTTGATTTTTTTTTTTATATTTGATAATTAATATATAAATTTATATTTAGATTAAATATATTAATGGTTAGATATATTTAAAAAGTCAAATTTATTTATAAATTATTACAAAAAAATATACTTCTAGGGACCAATTCTTTATATCAGAAAATTAGTATAGTATTTCACTATATAACACTGACACTTCTGAAAAATAGATACATCTATATCGGTGTTAAACACTTACACCAATATCTATGTCAGTGTCAGAATTATATTTGAGGTCCGAACTTCGTACTACCTCATCATTCTATATCATGTGGTTCTTATTATTTGCCAGGTTTGCTATTTATCTATTTATACACACAACACATTATTCTCATTTGCTTAAGTTATAGTTTCCCTAATACTAGAAAGGAACATTCATCACCTCAAAAAGAAAAGAAAAAAATGGAAACTGTTGAAACACTTCACATGAACAAAGGAGCTGGCGAAACTAGCTATGCCATGAACTCTTTCATCCAGGTATTATTGATTGGATTTTAAGATTCCAAAGTTATTATATTAATTATTAAAAAAAAAAACATGTTTAATTTGTGTACATGAAATTTGTAGAGGAAGATAATATCACTGACAAAAGAAGCAACAGAGAAAGCTATTATGGAAATTCTAAGCTCAAGAAGATCACCAATAATGAAAATGGGAATTGCTGATTTAGGTTGTTCATCAGGACCTAATGCCTTAAGGGTGATGTTGGAAATAGTTGAAGCTATAAATGCAGCTTCAAACATGTTGGATCGAGCAGCACCAAAAGAATTAATGTTATATATGAATGACCTTTTCACCAATGACTTCAATAATGTGTTTGCTTCTTTGCCATCTTTTCACACAAGAATAAACCAGGGAAAGGGAAATGATAGTAAAAATAATGGATACTGTTTTGTTTCTGCTGTACCGGGAACTTTCTATGGTAGACTTTTTCCAGCTAAGTCAATTCACTTTGTTCATTCTTCTTCAAGCATTCATTGGCTTTCTCGGGTATGTTTTCTAAAATATATATTAACTTTTTTTGTAAGTTCTCATCAAATAAATAAGTTTTCATTAAAACACTTAAAAATAGCTATACATATACTAAGGAAAGTTTGCAGCTACTTAAACCAAATTTATCTATGGTCAGTTAATCCCCTAAAATTCTATAGTTTTAAGGAAAAAAGATATATTCGCTTTAAACTTTGTTTGAATTGATGGAATCGAATAGAGTGGAATGAAAAGGAATAAAATAATATTCTATAATTTGGATAATTTAAAAATGGATGAAGCAGAGCAGGAGTGGTATGTATTTCATTTTATTCCATCACTATATCTCATATTCATTACCTTCCGATTTAGACGTAATGAACAACTTACCTTATTCTGTTTTAAATTTTCCAAACAATAAAATAATATCTTCATTCTATTTCATTCCATCTCACTCCGCTCCACTTCATTCTACTCCGTTTATTTCACATTATCTAAATAAACGTGACAAACTAATTATTATCTTATCTATAGGTTCCTGGTGGTTTGGAGGACAAAAATGGAAGAGGATTGAATAAAGGAAACATATGCATATCAAAGAACAGTCCCAATTGTGTGTTAGAAGCTTATTCACAACAATTCAAAAATGATTTTTCATGTTTGCTTAAATCACGTTCTCAAGAGATGGTATATAATGGACGCATGGTCCTTTCTTTTTTGGGTAGGCAATCTATGGACCATACATCATCCAATTGTTATTATCAATGGGAACTCTTAGCACATGCTCTTATGATCATGGTTTCAGAGGTACATAACTATAACATCATGGATCTTCTTCTTTCATCCTTTTCTCTCCTTCAAAAAACTATAACATGTGCATTACAAGAGAGAAGAATTAAAAATAATGATAAAAAGAATAAAAGAGAGAAAATGCTAGAGAGAGATAAAGAAAAAAAATATGAAGGAGATAGTTGGAGAAAAAAAATTGAAGGAGAGAATTCAAACCCTAACCATAAATTTAAAAATACAATTTTAAAGAATGTAATGATTTATTTTTGGTGAGTAGGGTCTTGTTGAAGAAGAAAAAGTGGATTCTTTCAACACTCCTTACTATGCATCTTGTTATGAAGAACTAAAAATAGAGATTGAAAAAGAAGGGTCATTCATGGTGGACTCTCATGAAGCTTATGAAGTTGATTGGGATGATGGGATGTATTTGCAAAGTGATCATGACTTATTAGGAACAATGTCAAAAGGAGAACGTTTTTCCAGAACCATGAGGGCTGGAGTTGAGTCAATACTAAAATATCATTTTGGGAATCATATAATGGATGATTTGTTTCAAAGGTATACTACACTTGTGGAGGATCACTTGTCCAAAACTAGGGCCAAATTTTTCAATTTCATAATTTCTCTTGTCAAACTACACTGAAACATTGACGCACCAAACAACAACAACAATAGATGTTTGTATTCATAAATTGAGACTTGAATAATAAGACTTGATGCATGTGTTTGCTTTTTGTATGTGGTCCACGTCTATTCTCGTACGTTGTATATGTTTGCTTTTTGTGTGAACGATACGTGAGAGAGGAATTTAGAAATGGTCCTCCAATTTTTAACTTTATTTTAGTATGAATCAATGAGTGAAGCTGATCATATTTATTCTCACATAACTATACAACAACTTTATTTTAGTATGAATGTGGGTGGGGCTGATCAAATTTGTCCCAACATGACTATACAACAATTTCAAAAGTATCTTGGCTCTTATACTTTTTACTTTTATTTTTTGTAATGTATCTATTTAATTTTCAAAAGATGTTTTTTTTTTAAATAATACAATTTATCTATTTTTTTTTAAATTGATGTTTGTTTTGTTCAAGAATTAGAAATGGATGTTCTAGTTTTACTTAAGAGTCAGAAATAGAGATAGTTGGATAACTAGTGATCTTGAATGATGACTTCGATCTCTTTTATGATACGTGTGGTGGACTTGTATAGTTAGCACTCCAACGTCTAAGTTAGTTCAAGATTCAAGATGAGCATGTTGAAAGTGGAGATCAGAGATTGTACTTTACTCTTAGCATGTGAACTGTTTAATATTTTGGGCTTAGTAGTGTGGATTTGAGATGGGTTGGGCCTTGGTCAATTGTGTATTTGGTCAGTGCAAAACAGTCGTCTCAAGGATTTGCCTGACACAAAAAGAGTCGGGGAAGCCTTAAGTACATTGTTCGGTCTCCATGTCGTGGTCTAATGTTGAATGTAACTGAGACGTTTGGGATCAGTTTTGAAAAGTAACGAAGAACATGGGCATTTAATGCGGTCCTATCATTGAAACCCTTCGTCATCATTTTTTGGCACGTGTATTAATGTAACTAGTTAGGATGTGATGCATTTTGTAGAGTACTTGAGCGCACTCGAGTTGACGTGTGTCCATGAGTAGAAATCTAATCGTTGATCTTGTGATTTATTTTCATAATTGATCTTGATCTTTCAGCTGAAGTTGCTTATAAACAGAGTGATTTGAGTATTTGAAAGGTTTTGCACCCTCTAGCTTTCAAGCTTACAATTATTTTATTAAAAAAATCATCTTCGTTCCTTCTTCCTTGAGGATATCATTAGAAGCGACTCGGTTCTTCTCTTAAAGCTTTCGCCTTCTTTCAGTCCGCCTGCTTGGCAATCCTTCATAATGGTTGGCCCTTTCCTATGTCAAGGGAGAAGAGGATGCGACGTTCTTTTGATGACTGAATGGTCCTGTTTCTTGAATGCTTGTTGCAAGAATAGGACTTCGACTTTCTTTTCTTGAATTTGAGGTAGTCGTCTTGAAGCATTTAAAATTTGCTCTTTTCTAGTTCCATCCAAGTCTTCCAGCTGTGTGCCAAGCACAAATCCAGGAAGCCTTTCTTAGCATATTTTTCCATCTTTTCCATCTGAGGTTTACTTCCCTGTACAACATTTGTAATAAGGGACTTATTTTCTTCAATCTGGTTAACCTTTGGTTCGACCCTTTCACTCTGGACGAGGGAGATTTCCTGAGATGTTTTTTATTAGTGAAGCCCCTCACTCTCACTACTCATTCTATTTTATCTTATCTTCCTACTGCTCATCCTCGCTCATGTCGAGTTTTATATCTAAAGTATTTGTCTAAACTTCATTTTAACTAATTGCTCATCTCTATTGTACCAAGATGAATTCTCTTTCTCCGAATGATGTGACGATGAAGAAGGAAATACAATCGCGTTCATCAAAATTATTGTTAGAAGCTTATTTACAATAATTAAATAATAATTTTTCATGTTAAATTGAATCACGTTCTCAAGAGATGGTATATGGTGGACGCATGGTCCTTTCTTTTTTAGGTAGGCAATATATTGATCATACATCATCCAATTGATATTATCAACAGGGAAATCTTAATATATTCCCTTATGATCAGGATTTGAGAGGTACATAACTATGACATTATGGATCCTCTCCTTTCACCTTTCTCTCTTTTTCAACTAAAACATGTATATTACAAGAGAGGGAAAATTAAAAAAGTAATGATAAAAAGAATAACAGAGAGAAAATGTTAGAGATAAAAAGAAAACTGTGAAAGAGATAGTTGGAGAAAATGAATTGAAGAAGTGGTCCAAACCCTAATTATAAAGAGATTATTATTTGAATATACACTTTTAAATAACATAATAATTGTGAATTCAATCTTCTTCAACATCATGTTTTGATGAAAAACAACTACTATGTACATTTATCAAAGGATGAGAAAAAACATCATGAAACAATATGGCTATAGATCATGATTACAACATTATGAAGACTTGTATTGATCTTAATTTATTGAGGTATAAGCATGCAATATATATTGATAAAATAGTGCTCAAAATAATCTCCAAAATCCATTTCCATGCATGGTTCATTTGGTTGAAAATACCTCACTATTTCTAGCTTTAAAATAAAAAAAATTTATCATACATTTGAAAATTTATTTTCATGTTTGAACTATGTTAAATGATCTTCAAATATAAGCTATTGACTTGCATAAATCAATATATGTTGCATAAGGTTGATACAAAAGTTTATACAATTTAATTTATTAATTTTTTCAAACATTCAGTTTTTGATAAATTAAGGAGTTTTGAACAACCGTAACAACACAAAAACCGCTCTAATTTACAATGTTCTAAAGCAGTATTTTATTTTTTAAAAATTCAAAATTATTGGTCTATATTTGTTAAGTCGGATATCCCTTAAAACCAACTTAACAAGTCCCGTACAAATTTGAAAAATAATATTTTATTTAACACCTTTTCATGCATCTTTTTATGAAACCATTTCACTTTAACTTGACAATTGTTCATGATTTTTTCACATAACTTTACCATGTTTCATAGAGGTGTTATGCTTATATAAATGCATGAAATTTCAAATTAAAATTAACCTCTTCTATTGCAATTAACATCATTATACTCATTCATTTTCAAAAAGAAGTGTTTTGATAATTCAACTTTCATTGAGAATTTTTCTACATATGTTCTTCATATCATTTCTGAAAAATTCCTTCATTATTCATAAACGCTTGAGCATTAATATATCTTTATATATTTCTTGTTTGGAAGAGAAGATCAATCATTATTATTGATATATATTCATCAACGTTTTACTTAATATTTTTCCTTATTTAGTTGTAAATTTCTTGTTGTCCAAAATTGTTAGAAACAAGAGAGTAGAAAGGAAAAGATTGTTTTCTTGTTCTACTTGTTTGGTTGTATATTGTTGTCCAGGATTGTTGGAAGCAAGAGAGTCATTAAGAGAGGATTGTTCTCTTAGTGTACTTAGTGAAAATCCAAGAGGAATGTTCTTGGTGATTTTATTGGTTAGAGTCTTGTATAGAAAGATAAGGGTGTCTTGTCTAGAGATCTAACAATAATGAAATCTCTTTCTTGTTGAAATGGGACCGGAGTACTCTCGGATTGTGAGGGGAAACATAATACATATTTGTGTTCTTTACTTTTCTGCATTTATCGCTTTCAACACAAATCATAACAAGAAAAGAAAATAATCATGTTTCTAAACACCTTCACGAAACTAGAAAAATAAGAACAAGTATTCTAAAAACTAGAAATAATTTTGAAAGTCCTAATTCACCCCCCTCTTAGGTGCACTCTTATACTTATATTTGGAATTAGAGCGGGTTATAGGTAACTTGTTCCTAAAGATCCAGAATGGCTTCCGCAAATTAAAATTCAGTTTTTAGAGATGGTGGTAGCAATAACAAGCCTCCATTGTTTTGTGGTGAATACTTTGATTTTTGGAAAATCCGCATGAAGGCTCATTTAGAAGCACAAAGAGAAGAAATATGGGATGCTGCCCAAATGATCCATTTGTTCCTACAAGTATTGTCAACGGTGTGGGTACGTCAAAGCCTAATAGTTCATGGGATGACGATGATAAGAAAAAGGTCCTCTATGACAAAAAGACAATTAATCTTCTTCAAAGTGCACTTAACATGGAATTCTTTCGTGTTTCTACATGCACAACGATAAAAGAAATATGAGATAATTTGGTAGAAACTCATAAAGGAACCACTGAAGTTAAAAGATCTAGATTAAATATATTGAGTCAAGAATACGAACTATTCAGAATGCAGCCCCGAGAATCAATCAAAGACTTATAGAAAAGATTTGTGCACTTGATAAATCATTTGAAAGCACTCGGTAAGTATTTAACTAATGATAGACTTAATCTTAAAGTGCTTAGATCTTTATCCAGGGAATGACAACCAAAAGTGACGGCAATATCCGAGAAGAAGAATCTATCAACAATGACTTCTGCCACTTTGTTCGGAAAACTTCAAGAATATGAGACAGAACTTGCAAGACTTGAAAAGCATGAAATCCAAGTAAAATATTCAAAAGACATTGCTTTAAATACGAGGATAAAACATCATGATAGAAATCAAGAAAATAAATACACTAGTAATGAAGATGATGATCATATCAAGAAGATTGAAAATGTTCTTTGAAAAGAAAGAAAAAAAGAAGCACCAACAAGGAAGGTTACATGCTTTGAATGTGGAAAAAAGAGACGTGTTAAAAGTAAATTTCCAACACTTGAAAAGAAGAAGAAATATTTCATGAGAAATAAAGATAAAAAGTCAAAGTAAGCATATATAGCAGGAGAAAGTTCATCTTCCGATTCTGAAAGTAATCAACGTGTTAATCTTGCATTAATGGCTTCACATCATTCGAATGATGAAAATGATGAGGTTAATAATGAATTTTCTCTTTATGATACTGATGTACAAAATGCAATAAATGAACTCTTAAATGAATGCAAAATTTTATACAAAACTATTTCATCTAAAAAAAAACATATTTCATCTTTAGAAGAAAAATTGAGACATTGGAAAATGATTTTAAGGATGAAAAA